CCTTCAAATTGGGTCCTTCAAAAAATTCAGGAGTTCAGTAAGTTGGTTGGCGTGTCTTGCGATGGATACGAAAGTAGACTCATACAATTATTCGAAGAACTGGAGGCTAGTAGGGGGTAGGGGATGAGTACACAAGAAGGAAAGGCAAGCAGGAAGGGTGTTCGCGAACTTAAGCAGCTCGAACGGTCAGTCAATTATGATGCTAAGGGTGGAGAGTCAAGGATTGCTGGGGAGGGACGACGAAGTGTTAAAATGACCCCAAAACATATTAGCTGGAATGTGAGGAAGCTTAATGAGGTTGAGAAAAGATTAGGTCTTCGAAATTTGTTAAGGGGATGGAGGGCGGACCTTGTTTGTTTGCAGGAAACTGAATTGGAGTTCGTCTCGAGGGTTGTGGTCAGTAGCGTATGGGGGGACATCATGTTGGATATCAGTTTTTGGGGTCTTCGGGGGCATCAGGATGCATGCTAATCATGTGGGACACTAGAGAGTGTGATTTGGAGGATGTTAGTATATGGACATATTCGCTGTCGCTTTTGCTTAGAAATATTGGGGATGGATTTCATTGGATGTTTATAGGAGTTTATGGACCTAATTCTGATGAGAGCAGAAGGGGCTTATGAGATGAGTTGACTGGTATGATGGCTTGGTGAAATCTTCCAACGTGTATTGGGGGTGATTTTAAATTGGTTCGATTTTCCACTGAAAGGTCGAGTGGTGGGACACTTACTGGGGCTATGGAGGATTTTTCGGATTTTATTAGGAAGAATTTGTTGGTAGATATGCCTATGATTGGGGGAGATTTTACTTGGTCTTCTAATCGGGATCAACCTGTTCTATCTCGTATAGACCAATTCTTGGTTAGCGGAGAGTGTGAGGCTAAGTACTCGGATGCTATTCAGAGAAGATTGGGAAGGGCGTATTCTGATTACTTCCCTATTTTGTTAACTGGGAACACTAGGGGTAGTGGTATAAGGCCTTTTAGGTTTGAGAAGATGTGATTAAAAGTGGAAGACTTTAGGGAACGTGTACGAACTTGGTGGGCTTCTTATGATTTCCCGAGGTCTCCCAATTATGTGTTGGATTAGAAGTTGAGGGCATTAAAAAGGGATTTAAGAAGATGGAATGAGGAGGTGGTGGGAAATGTGAATTTTCGTAAGGTCTAGTGTCTTTCAGACATAGAAGAGTTGGATAAGATTGGGGAGAGTCGAGGGTTGAATGGGGAGGAGAAGGAGAGACGTGATGTATTAAGGGAAGAGCTTGTGAGGATGGTGGAGATGGAAGAGATTGCTTGGCGCCAGAAATCTAGAGTCACGTGGTTGAAAGAGGGAGAAATGTACTAAGTTTTTCCACAGGGTCGCCAATTCTAACAGGCGCAACAATTTTGTCACAGTGTCGGAGGTAAATGAAGTTACTTATGAGGATCCAAATGATATTGGGACCCAGATGGTGAG